CCCCACATTGCTCCCCAGGCGCCGCACAATGGCAGCCCACTGCTCCCCAAGAGGATGGGTTAAATGCAGAGAGTTAATTCCTCCAATGTGAGATCAATAAAGTTTAAGTATTATTATTAAAAAGTGCTAAGTTGATGATGTGCATGTATTATAAATGTATTGATTACATTGCTATGGTAATTACATTACAGGCATTTTCATGGCACGACTCTGTGAGAGTGGGGAGTACCAAGATGGCGGTGGGTGACTTCAGTTTTTTATCAGCAATCCAGTGAATAAATAGATATCAGTGTTAGCGAGTCACTGTGACAATAAATCCCATGATGCTTTGCGAGGAGAGCTCTCCTAGGAAAAGCATTGCGGGTTTATCCGCTCGTCTAGTGATCATGGATGGTTGGCACTACCCGATCCATCCGGGAAAGGACAATTCCTCTTGCGCATGCGCCATCAGCTCATTTGCGCATCCTGATATACATCCAGGTCGCCCTTGATTTTATTTAGCTAAAAATACCTAAATTACGTTTTCCTAAAAAATAGTAAATGTACTAAAATATAATGTGTTAAAGGTTAATAAAGTATTTCCTGAGAAAATAAATGCCTTAAAATCCTTTCTGTTTTATCACTCGTCTCTGCCCGATCTGGGATCCTACGCTACTTCTGGGAGCTAACTTTTTCGTATCGAGTCTTTTTGAGTTTTATGTTTTCCTTTCATGTTAACATTATGGTATATAGTGCGTAATCTAAAGAAAGAAACAACTAAAATGCAGATAAAAATGGTTTAATCAGATTTAGCCGGACTTCTCTGAACATGTCCCATGATGTCAGAGAAGCAGTTTAATGAAGAAAATGTTAAACGTATCAAAATTTTCTCACAAAAGTCATAAAAAATTTTTTAAGGATGTGTATTAGCTAGTGATGGGTCCAGCAATCCCAATACATCGGTGCATCGGAGCCAATAGAGCAAAACACTGTATCGGTGCACGTGTTGTTTCAAGAGTCATGTGAGCGATACAGGAGTTGTTTCTAACTGACTGACTCACTAAACTGTGTTTAAAAACATATCTCAACATGTTGCATCTGCTAAAAAAAATGTTTTCATCTTTTGTGGTTTATCATTAAAACTATCAAGAATATTGGAGCAGCCTAAAAGGAATAGAAATGTTTCAGCCATTGTGTTTTTATTCTCATTGTGTCATTCTTTTCCTCACAATTATCACTCAACTTCTCTGAATGAAGTTAATTTCAAATCGATTCTTAGTTTATTTACTGTTTTTAATGTACTTACTGTTTTAAAAACATTATTTAAAATCCTTGTCCACAAGCATCTTCATTCACATTTCCCCCTAAATTTTCACGTTATATGTTTACATTATTTATTTACTGCATCTAAATATATCTAAAAATATTTTTCAATTTAAACATACATATGAAATAATACAATATAACCTACAATAATCTAAATGATATCATTGCTCCAGGTCATCAAATCAATTCAGTTTAGTCTGTCCAATAAGCTGCCTGTAGTGTCTCTAAATGTCCAGCAGGTGTCAGTATTCTGTGAGACAGTATCAATGCAGCGTCTATACAGTTTGGCAATGTGTGAGTTAGGGATAGAAAAAAGTAATTTTAGTACCATAATACCATTATTTATGGAGACCCGGATGTATATCTGTTTGTGCATGTGAAGGACGGATCGTACTTCCAGGACAAATTGATTAGTGGCAATGATCACTACTTTTCAAGGTGCATTTTGGGAAATTTTGAGTCCACTACTTTTTCATCCACGAGACGTTCAGACACTCATTTAAAATAGCCCAATATGGATATTATGACATTGAGTTTCATGCTTTCCTTTTGTGTTAAGCACAAGTTATATAGTTTGTAATTTAAAGAAAGAAAAAAACTAAAATGCAGATAAACCTGGTTTAATCCTATTTTGCCGGACTACTCTGAACATGTCCCATGATGATGTCAGACAAGCTGTAAAAAAGTAAAATGAAAAAAAAAAAGTAAAATGTAAAAAAGCATTAAATGTCTCAGAATAGTCATATAACAATCTTTAAAGATATGTATTGTCATTTATTTTATTTTTTTTTTGTTATTTAATGATAGAAATAAGTACTTTTAGTACCTGGATCTATATCTGGTTGCGAATGTGCAAATGAGCTGATGGTACAATGCATTACCTGTATAACGTTCAACAGACTGTTTTGTTTTTCTCCTGTCCTCGTTTGAAGATTTGTAGTGAACAATCTTCAGGTGCATTATTGCCACCTACTGGTAAGGAGTGGAACAGCTCATCAGGGCTGTAGATTGACATTTGTAAACTCGTGATTTGTACTTCTATTTTAGCAAAGTTGCAACTTTATAACATAACTTCCGAACTGAATATCTGAAAACAGGAAATCTTAAATTTATTGACCCGTACTTATAAAGTCAGACACCTATGGATACATTTCTATCGACAGTTATCATATTGGAGGCACTTCATCCTTCGGTGGATTTACCATTGAGGTGAGGGGGGGCCTGGAGGCGATAGGAGCTGTAGATGTCATTTTTCATCTCCAGCCTGAGCTTGGAGCCCCTGAAGAGCTCAGCCAGGGAGTCCTCTCTGATGGGGGTCTTCTCCAGGACCACCACAGCATCATTATCAGCAATCTGAAGACATGTTCAACATTTCGGTTTCTGCCTGGATCTCAAGATATGATATCATCAGTACAAACCCCTGATACGACGGAGTATTAGGGCCAGGATAGAGATTTTTTTTTTATATTTCTAGAAAAAAGTTGTAATATTATGATAATAAAGTCGTAACATTATGTTAAGTCTTAATATTAAGAGAATAAAGAGTTAAAATTACGAGAAACAAGTTGTATTTTATGACAACTCCAAGTTGTATTTTATGACAAGAAGAACGTTCTACCCTAAAATGAGGAATGTTGATCATCATGTGAAGTTATACTTTGGCTCTGGTTTGACAAATAATGAAATCTTTTAGCACAGGCATCAAATTGGGCAGCATGTCAAAGTGGACTCAGGTTGCTGATTGGTTGAATTGGTCGGTCGTCATCTGCTGGTCTGAGCTTCAAGCTTTCTTTCTGAAACGGGTTGTTGTCTCCTAATGTTACGACTTCATTCTCAAAATAAAAATAAAAAAATCTCTATCCTGGCCCTAATACTCTATCGTATCCTGACAACATAGGCTATTATTTTGAAATAATAAATCGGAAGTGGACACCATGCCCCTACAGCTTTATCGCACAGCTTTCAACAAAAATGAAAGGTAAAATCTTATTTCGACCATTGAACTGATCTTGAGTAATTTCCGGAGCAAACCAAACGAAAAACACAAAAATTTCAGAGAAATCCCAGATAAAAACACCTTTCCATGGACGAACATTATCTTCTCTCGGGCTGAATCACTCAGCACGCTGGATGTTGTGAACGCAGACAGAACGTTCTCCCACTCAGGTTCATTTCCCTCCTCTTCTCCGTTCTTGTCGTCCGATTTCACCCTCTTAACTTCCCGGGATAACTCATCGCTCTCAGCGCTGGATATTTCACGTTTGGTCGAGACGTTCGCCATCGAGAGCCGCTGTGATCAAAGATCGTCTATTTTAAAACAGGGCTCACCCCGCAAAAAAAGGTTGATCGTTTTCATTTAGAGTTTGACTCGCGGTTGGCAAAGCAACGTCAGGTGCTTTTACCGCCACCTACCGAACTGGAGTACGAACGTCGATGAAAATCGGTGGGGCTTTACAATAATTGATTGAATACGGTTAAATAAACTTATATATATATATATATATATATATATATATATATATATATATATATATATATATATATATATATATATATATATATATCCTAATAGTTTACATTTATTTTCTAATTAATTACTTAAAGTAAAATTTCTGATTTTCTTTTTATTTACAGGACAGAAAAGTTTTTTTTTTAAGTAATTAAAACACAAGAGAAAATTATCTACAACTACCAGTATTTACTTGAAAAAGAAATATGCAGAAATATGTGTTTTAAAGGACACACAAAAAAAAAATAAAGAAATTAGCGAATGAAGGAAAAAATAAAATCAAAAGCCAACTAAACAAAGACATGATTAAAATTGGGACTTTAAATATACTAATAACAACAAATTGCCCAATAACCTGGCATAACAACAACGTTTCACCCTTTAACCATGTCAGAATAAAGAAAAACTGGCGTAAGCTTTTATCAATTCTTTAAATATCCAACTGATAAACAAAATAAAGTTTATTGTTTAGATATTTTTTCCTTTCTAAAAAAAAATCTCCCTAAAGCCGTTTGTCACACTCCTTTAATTTAAAATACTAATTTACACATTTGTTCTCTACACTTAACAAACACACTGAAATATTTTGATTAATAATTATAGGAAGACTAGGATAAAATACCAGCCTTATTACAGTTGGCACAATTCTGATGTTTAACATCTTCATATTTGAATAAGTATTAAAAAATGGAATAATAAACAAAATAGTAAAATAAAATGTTTTCATCAGCCACCTTTATTCTTCATTTCATAATCAACTTGGAAATAATTGTGTGAAACATTCACATTTTATTCCAGCACTTGAAATTTGGTCTAAAGCGTAAAAGTTTTGTTCTTAAAATGTAGAAGGTTAAGATAATAATAAAAAAAGACTGAGATTTATATTTATCAAATTTCGCTCATAGTGAGACCTCTTTTCGTTGTTATTGTTAACGTTCTTTTTTGCGTAGACATGAGATTCTTGTCAACATTTTAAATAAATAAATTGTTAAAATGTTCTTGTTAATGTGGAAAAAATAAGAAAAGCCAAGTAGCTTCCCTAAAAATCTGTAAAGAAATAAAAAATGTTGTCGTGTATTGTGGATAAACTGGTAGCTGATTAAATGATTGACGCGTCAATTACCTAGTAAAGCCCACCCCTCCTGCCGAATGGACCAATGAGCACGCAGCACCTTGCTGACTCATTATCAGGAAGTTATTTAAACAGCAGCAGCCTGCCTGGATGTGTTTATAATGTCCACAGCAGACAGAGTGGGTCAGAAAGCAGCGCAGAAATGAATCTGGGAGTTTTTACGTGGCTTTTCCTGCTGCTCCTCTGTTTACTGACACCTGCTACGTCTAGAAGAGGTAAATCCACCAAACTGAACCTCACAGGCTTCCTTATTTTAATAATATAAACCTGTCCGTATGTAGTTTAGCACTAATTCTCTGGATGATGTCAATGTTCTAGCTTAAATAGCTTTAACTAGATTTTATTAGAAAGTTTATTTTTTTATTTTGTTAACTTTAATCGGATTTCTTACTCTGTGGGTTTGATTTTTGACACTTCTGAATATAACTTTAGCAGAAGTGGAAGTAACTGGGATCTGTCAGCTGCTCCACTGGTTTCCAGGCTTGTTAACTTTCTAACGGTGCGTTTATTTAAAATGTTTCCGAGTTTAAACCTTGATTGTCTGTTTGCAGAGAAGAGGAACGTCCTTTTCATCATAGCAGATGATCTGCGGGCATCTTTGGGTTGCTATGACGACGCCCTGGCGAAGTCTCCTAACATTGACCAGCTGGCATCCAGAAGCCAAGTCTTCCTCAATGCATATGCCCAGGTCAGCCCCACGCAGGTTCACTGCCTCACTCCACCAGGGGGAACCAATTAAAATCAGAGGGGTCAGAATAAAGAAAATCATCAACCAGTAAAGGTCCAGAGACATTTTCAATTATAAGCTGTTACTTTAAACAGAATTTAACACTGAAATAAATAGCAGGTGTTTATGCATCCATCTTATACATAGAATTTTTAAATAATAAAATATATATATAAAAAAATAGAAGATTTTTCCATTTTAAAATCTAAAGTGTTTTTTGAAGTTGAGAACAACAATCATTTAGTTTAATATATAGATAATTTCCTGATTCACACATTTTATAAAACACCTAAACTGAAAGTTTGTTTTTTCTTTTTTCTGTCTTAATGTTGGCAGTGGGCTTTATGCTGCCCTGCAAGGCTTTAAACCTGGGTTTGAATGGAGACAAAGCCATTCTAAAGCACATATCAAGGAGCTCATTTTGAGCCTGGATCCATATTTATTTTTGATTCTGTTCATGGTGGAGAATCCTGCTTCACAGCAGCAGGTTGAGCCAAACATCCTCTAAATGTGCAGGGTCATCTTTGAGCACCATTTCACTTTTCTTTCACCAGTTCACCACAGTTCTTCCAGCAGTCCACACTTTCTCTGCTCTCTTTTTCTCATCATCTTCTCCTTCTTTCCGATCGCCCGGCTTGCCACAGGTTTGCCTGCTGTGTCTAAAAGTAGCAGCAGCAGCAACCCAGACTGACAGCAGCTCATTGGATTATCTGTATCACGTCTAGCCTGGTGCTGGACGCTCTGCAGGGCTTTACCGTATTAACAGGAGAAGCACAGAAACTACAGGGAAGTTATCATTATTCCAGAAACCAATAAAATTAGCATTTTAATGAAGTTAATGGAATTACAGAGAAAGTGTGGGTGAAGTTTTCTGCTGCTGTATGCAGGAAAGAATCATTGTGTAATCTAAAGTGACTTGCAAAAGTATTCACACCCCTTTAACTTTAAAGTTGCCAACAAATATATTTTTATTGGAATCTGATTTTGAAAAACGAACACAAAGTGGTTTAAATGACTATGTGGAAAGAAAAAATTATAGGATTAAAAAAAATTTTTTTACAAATCAAAACTGAGAAGGGCATTGTGTAAAAGTATTCATTCCCTTGCATGCAATTCCGTTTGGGATTAACAAAGTATTTTTGAATTGAAGTGCTCTCCATTCTATCCATAACGTTTAAGAATCAAGGCAGGTATCTGTTAAGACATAAAGTAGGAGGATTTTATAAAAAAGGCTCCGATTTTTCCTGAAGAAGCTTTGCTATGAATTTATAGGTGGAACAGTTTCCCTTTGAGAACCTACCTTTGTACAACACGCTGCAAAGACGAGGCTCTCAGTTCGTTGGTGGGCTTGTTAATTTTAGTTTCTAATTAAACTTGCACTTAGACTCAACTTTATTTATCCCTTGGGATCACTCCTTCAGGGAAATTCTGGTTCCAGTACCCTGTATAGAGTACAAAGAGTTAAAGCAAGATGCCATTAATAATAAAAATACAACAGACAATATAGAAAGAGTGTATATAGTACAGAAAAAAACATTTAAAGAAAAAAGCAATGTCCTGGAATATGTTTCCCATAGATTTAATACTTAATAATTAATGCTTCATCACAAACTAGCTTTAAGAAACTTGACACACATGTGGGTTCTTTAACAATTCCTGCCCCTACTTCCTTTAAGCCAAACCTTCAGCATAAAAGATGGTTGTTCACACCCCTGTGGATTCTTCCTCCCTGATATTAGGCAGCTTATATTTCCAGCCGGAGGACTAGGCTTTGAAACTAGAAACCTGAAATTAAAAGATGTAAATAATTCCTGAAGGAATAAAAGGTTAGAACTGGTTCTAATTAATCGATTCTCGATGCCCAATCCTAATTTTGTTGCAGTTTTTCTTCTCAGCATTTGTTTTATGTTTGCAGGAACCTTAGAATTTGCTTATAAATAATTTTTCTCTGTGTTTTTACCCCATAGTCACCGTACCAGACACATGAAGAACATGCAAGATGATCTTTAAATACAGCAGCTATTTCTAGGAAATCCTCCGACTGTTTAAATGTCACCGAAGTGCTCAGTTTGCAGGGTTCCTAATCAGCTGTTTTTAGAGAAGGCTTGTTCTTGCTTGTCTTCATTAGGCCAAAAAGTATTTATAGTTTAGTGATTTGATTAGAAAAAAAGCTCTGATTTATAGTTTTTCCGTGGTTGCTGCTGCTGCAGCCAGTGGCGGTTCTAAACCAAATGTTCCAGGTGGCCAGAGGGGGGCCAGCATGTTTTCATGCCCCATGAAAACATGCTGGAGTAAAAAAACAAAAACAAAAAAAACAGGCAAGGGATTCAATTAAGAGAGCTGCATGAATTTAAATTACCATTAAATTAGTAAATTAAAATCACATGTCTTTGGCTTGAAAGTGTTCATTTGGATTATCCTTAAAAAAAAAATTCCCTTAGCAGAGCAAAAAAGCAACTAAAAAAATTGTAGCTATATACAGGTGCTGGTCATAAAATTAGAATATCATGAAAAAGTAGATTGATTTCAGTAATTCCATTTAAAAAGTGAAACTTGTATATTATATTCATACATTACATACAAACTCATATATTTCAGATGTTTATTTTGTTTAATTTTGATGATTACAAATGACAACAAATGAAAATCTCAAATTCATCATATCAGAAAATTAGAATATTACTGAAGACCAATAAAAACAAAGGATTTATAGAAATGTTGGCCAACTGAAAAGTATGAACATGAAAAGTATGAGCATGTACAGCACTCAGTATTTAGTTGGGCCTCCTTTGGCCTGTATTACTGCAGCAATGCGGCGTGGCATGGAGTCGATCAGTCTGTGGCACTGCTCAGGTGTTATGATAGCCCAGGTTGCTCTAATAGTGGCTTTTAGCTCTTCTGAATTGTTGGGTCTGGTGTATTGCATCTTCTTCTTCACAATACCCCATAGATTTTCTATGGGGTTAAGGTCAGGAGAGTTTGCTGGCCAATTAAGAACAGGGATACCATGGTCCTTCAACCAGGTACTGGTAGCTTTGGCACTGTGTGCAGGTGCCAAGTCCTGTTGGAAAATGAAATCTGCATCTCCAAAAAGTTGGTCAGCTGCAGGAAGCATGAAGTGCTCTAAAACTTCCTGGTATGTGGCTGCGTTGACCCTGGACCTCAGAAAACACAATGGACCAACACCAGCAGATGACATGGCACCCCAAACCATCACTGACTGTGGAAACTTTACACTGGACTTCAAGCAACGTGGATGAAGTGCCTCTCTTCTTTTCCTCCAGACTCTGGGACCTTGATTTCCAAAGGAAATGCAAAATTTACTTTCATCAGAGAACATGACTTTGGACCACTCACCAGCAGTCCAGTCCTGTTTCTCTTTAGCCCAGGCAAGACGCTTCTGACGCTGTCTGTGGTTCAAGAGTGGCTTGACACAAGGAATGCGACAGCAGAAACCCATGTCTTTCATACGTCTGTGTGTGGTGGTTCTTGAAGCACTCACTCCAGCTGCAGTCCACTCTTTGTGAATCTCCCCCACATTTTTGAATGGGTTTTGTTTCACAATCCTCTCCAGGGTGCGGTTATCTCTCTTGCTTGTACACTTTTTTCGACCACATCTTTTCCTTCCCTTCGCCTCTCTATTAATGTGCTTGGACACTGAGCTCTGTGAACAGCCAGCCTCTTTAGCGATGACCTTTTGTGTCTTGCCCTCCTTGTGCAAGGTGTCGATGGTCGTCTTTTGGACAACTGTCAAGTCAGCAGTCTTCCCCATGATTGTGTAGCCTATAGAACTAGACTGAAAGACCATTTAAAGGCTTTTGCAGGTGGTTTGAGTTAATTAGCTGATTAGAGTGTGGCACCAGGGGCCATCAATTTTGAACCTTTGCACAATATTCTAATTTTCTGATATGATGAATTTGAGATTTTCATTTGTTGTCAATTGTAATCATCAAAATTAAACAAAATAAACATCTGAAATATATGAGTTTGTATGTAATGTATGAATATAATATACAAGTTTCACTTTTTAAATGGAATTACTGAAATCAATCTACTTTTTCATGATATTCTAATTTTATGACCTGTAGATATCTGATAGATCAAATAAAGCTATTATTTGGAATATAAGCTCAATATCGATTCATAATTTAGGAATTTTTCATATTTTTAACCTAAAACCAGAATTGTAACTTGAGAAAAACTGGTTAAATTCAGCTGTAATAATTACATTTTTGTTTTTTTTTGTTTTTTTTTTATCATTTGTTTTGAAAAACATATTTAGCAGATGGAAACTGGGATCCTATCTCAATACCACTGAAGCTATCACCTTATTATTGTTTTTAAATAATTAGTAAAAAATAATTTTTTAAAGAAAAAAAAATGAAATGGACCCAAAGGACCTATCAGTAACCATGTCTGTTCCTGCACATATCATCATTAGAATTTATTATGGTATTATTTCTTCAGTACAGATGACATGATCTGCAGGGGCACTGGGGCCCGTTGGCCCCTGTCTAGAACCGCCCATGGCTGCAGCCCTCTGGTTGCAGAGTGCAGCCTGTGCATTTGTTCTAAATATGTCCCACTGTTGTCAATATGAAGTTTGTCTAAATAAAATCTATGCTAAGGAAATGAATTGTTCAAAGGAGCAAACAAAGTGCTTAAACAAGCTTAGCATCTCTGAAATGTCCCCCCCCCACTCTGCAGCAAGCCGTGTGCGCTCCCAGTCGAACATCCATGCTGACCAGCCGCAGGCCGGACACAACCAGGCTGTACGACTTCAACTCCTACTGGAGGGTCCACTCTGGGAGCTACACTACTCTGCCGCAACACTTTAAATCCAAAGGCTACTACACCATGTCAGTGGGAAAGGTGTTCCATCCAGGTATCTCAAAAAAAAAAAGGCATGTTTTTCTGAGAAAAAGAGATTTAAAACGACTTTAAATTGAATTCTTCCTGCTCTCTCTTATTTTGTGCCTCTCTTCGTAGGCATTGCTTCTAACCACACTGATGACTACCCCTACAGCTGGTCTGTCCCTGCGTATCACCCGTCTTCATTTAGATTTGAGAAGCAAAAGGTAAGAATTAAGCAACTAAACCCCAATTATTGACATTTTAACAGCTGGCTGTTCGTTAGTTAGAATTTAAATTATACAGTGAGACATAATTGTCTATATCTCTTTATTAGCTTCTTTATTTATTCACCTTTGTAATAATTACCGATGCGGTAAAATGCTAACCAACCAATGGGCAGAAGTTGACCCTCTAAGACACACCCCTTCCTCATGAGGCAGAAATGCATACAGAGATGTAAAAACGACGGGCAGAAATAAATCAATAGAATTGAAGAAATAAATGGGGTAAAAAAATACAAAGGAAGAATAAAACGGACAAAAATATTTTAACATGCACATAAATAAATACTTAGAAAAAAGTAATTATTAAATAAAGTTTAAGATTATAACGGACAATATATAAATAAGGTTATTATTACAAAGGAAAATATACTAATTAAAAGAGTTATATACATTTGTCTCACTGTATAGTTTAATTCCTACCTACATTTATTTGTTTATTGTATTTTAGGGGCCAATTTATTTATTTATCGAACATTTATTTATTTCTGTATTTATTTTTGAATATGGCAGAGTTGGTCCTTCATAGTTTGTCAGGAACACCAGATTCTGTGACAAACATTGATCCAAAACGGAGAATGTTTTATACTGTTACACAATAATTATATATGCATGCCCCCCCCCCCCCCCCCCCCCCCCATTGAGGTGGTAAATATGTTATTTAATGAAATTATATTCGGACCGTCGTATAATTGTCCGTTGACTCCCGCCCTACTACTGACTGTGTGTTAGAACAAATGAAGATGTGAATTGAGCTCTAATCATGGTCAAATGGATAATTTTATGAAATAAATCACTCAACTTCAGTTCAAAATATTTATTAAAATTTATTAGCAAAACTCATTCAGCTCAAAGTCTAACATATTTCAGTTTGATTTCACTTTGAATATAATGGTGAAACTCACCTAATCTAAGCCACTATGTAAACAAAAAGAGAATGACTTAAAAAAAAAAAAAAAAAACCCTTGGAGGGTCTTGTGAAAGGCGGGTTTACAGAAATTGGAAATTAAGAGAATTGTAAATGATTATTTTAGTTGCACTAACTGCTGCATGTAATCATGGGGTGGATCGGTGAACCTGTGTTTCACAGGGTGCAGTTGAACAAGCAGCTCCAGCTACCTTGGAACAGAAGCTCACTGATGACATCACCACACGCTCTGCTCCTCTGGAGCTGCATTTCATCTCCTGCTTTTAATAATCTCTAGATCAGGGGTCTCAAACGGGTTCCAGAAAGGGCCGTGTGGCTGCAGGTTTTCTTTCCAACCAAGCAATCGCACACCAGACTCCATTCATCTCATCAACTGACTGCAGTCTGAACATGATGACTTGATGAGGTGCATGGAGTCTGGTGTGCAATTGCTTAGCTTGAAAGAAAACCTGCAGCCACACGGACAGCTGTCAATCTCCAGAACGGACAAGTCTGCTTTGATGCATGCTGGGTAAAGAGGGAGGGGCGAGAATAACATCCGAGGACTTTGTCCGTTGGCAGTCTACCCTTCACCCCATCACTAACATCTCCTCCTCCTCCAGCAAAGCCAGCATCTAGATTTCCCAGTGAAAATCAAAGGAAACACCTTGACAGCAATGCAGCTGAATTAACCCAGTCAGGAAGTATCTCGAATCTGTTTTGAACTGCTAAGTAATTTTTTGGGTGCTCTACACATCTCTGCTCTGAAATCCCTGTTGTGGTTTGAGCCGCAGTCTATTGAGGTAAGCAGCGAGAAAGCAGAGTCCTGATTGGATAACACAGAAAAATGTCACTTCCAGTGAGGCTAAAGCTCTTAGGGGATCTATGCAGCAGGGGCAGGTCATGATGCTGATTGGTTAAAGCCGGGCATACGCTGTGCGATATTTTCAATCGTTGCAGGCAGCTACAGCTCAAACTGTACGATGAAACCGCAGGGTTTAAAAGTTCAAAGCTTACGATGTATGTTCTTACACTGTGCGCCCCGAAGCTCTGATGTTACGATGGCCAACTGAATTTAAACCTGTTTGATTTTCTCCTGAACTTATGATTCTTGATCGGGGAAGTGGTTGTGAGAGGCTGATCACCCCTCCCCTCGTTACCCTCTGTACACTACATGACGCACGATCAGGCTCAAAGTCGGCCAGATCAAAAAATTCTCACACAACTGGAAGATTGTCCTGAAAAGGGCAAAAAAATTGTACAGTTTATGCTTTGCTTAATATAGTTAAAATTTTTAACTGACAGTGGCAAGACAGTGAGGATGTTTTCCTCCAAAGGGAAAACGGGTCATTTGGTCAGAACGGTCATCCTGTGCTGAACTCTTGCCTTGATTTCTGGAGTTTATAATTTCAGATGGCTTCACATCAGCTATTTTCACCCGCTGTAGTGATGTGTTTTATGTGTTTCAACATTTGTGAAAGCAATACGTGATGTTTTGATTAAATGAACACTATTGGACCTCCTCTGTTTCAGAGAGCAGCATTGGACACTGATTCTGTGGTACTGCCAGCAGATGGCGCCACATCTGTTTGTCTGTTCATCTTGCCCTGTGCTGGCATTCTATTTAGGCTAAAAAAGGACTATGTAAACACTATCAGGGCGGATGCTTGGCACACATAACCTGATTTTATCAGGATCTAATGATTCTTGATCTTTTTTTGTATTGGTGAATATACTGTGAGTTTGAACCTTTAATACTTGACTTTTTATTGCTCACACCTTCCTGCAGGATATTTGTACCTTCGAGGGTCCACATCTAGCCACTTTACTAAAATAATAAAACACTATTACACATCTAAAGTTACGGCAGAGGTGGAGACCACAGCAGCACTCGAACACGTGTGACAAAACAATGTTTGGACCCAGATGCTGACATCATGTCTTAAAGTAACCATCTTGTTTTCAGATGTGTAAAGGAGACGATGGTCAGCTCCACGCCAACCTGCTGTGTGCGGTTAATGTGACGGAGCAGCCCGGAGAAACCCTGCCAGACCTGGAGAGCACGGATGAAGCAGTGAGGCTGCTGAAGAGTCGGGTCGGGGACGGAGCTTTCTTCCTTGCTGTGGGATTTCACAAACCACACATACCTTTCAGGATCCCACAGGTACATAGATTATAACACAACCAGCAGGACATAGCTGTGGGAAAACACAGACATTGGAATAGAAATGCAGACTGTTGACATTAACTTGCCAGAACTTAATGTTGACATACTGTCGCTCTGCCTAATGAGGAAAAGGCTGGTAACCTGACCTCAGATAAAAGGGCATTAATAAAAAGAAAAGTAACATTCAAATCTATTTTGAAGCTGCCATCACTGAGTTTTTTCATGTTGACTAATGCTAAATGGGAATATGTTAGAATTTAATCACCTAAAAGTGTTATCTGCAGCAAATTACATGGTTTGTCTCGCACTCAGATGGTGTGGGTGTTTGAAACGGCACACAGCAGGCAGTGGCAGCACCAGAGAGTATGGGTGGGGGGGCAAAAAAAGGTCAAGAGGTTTTTATAGAAGGCTGCAATGAAATGTGATTCCTGAAATATTAGTACTATAGATATAAAATATTTACCGATTAGTCTGTAAAGGCTAAATAATGTGAAATATATGATGCTTAACCCTCATGCTACATTCACACCTGACGCTGCAGAAGCAGCTGGTTTACATGCAAAGTCGATGGTTGACGTGCATCAAAAGGTCCTGCATCTTGTTGCAGCTGAAGCAGCGCCTCATGAGCTTCTTTGAGGCGTGTGAAGCGCTTCACAAGCAGCAGCTGCTGGAGTTTTAAATATTCAACTTTAGCTGCTGGACGCACCACATCAACCAATCAGAGCAGCTGATCTGTGAGCTGGCAGGGAGACGGACACAGCACTGCTGATGCAGAGCGCTACTCCCCTGAAACAGTTTATTAACGCCTAAATGAACTTAAAATGTTAAAACTATGTTCGGTTTTATTATTCGGGTGCCTGCAGTTTGGATTACATACGTGAAAAACTCTAACATCTACTTCCTGCCGCCACCAAGAGTAGAGGAAAACCCCCATCTGCTGCTGGGGTTTCCCAGTGACGGCGCACTGCCAGTATGTGGGGATCTGAGCAGCTCTGACAGTGAAATATTTGAAGGCAGGATCCTAATCTTGATAAACTGACTACAAAGATTAGGTTTTTAGGTGGACTTTCTCACTTAAAGACACATTAAAACTACTTTTCACCAGCTTATCGCAGCTAGTTTAGCAAAGCCGCTCTCTGCCATTGAACACAGGAGCAGCGAAAGCATCAGACGAACCGGTACAAACTTTACTGGACCCGCTTCAGGAGTTTCAAATATGCTCCTTAATGTGTACAAGCATCAAAAAAGCATGTGGGGTGTAAATGTAGCATTATTGTACAAATATACAATGTGTTAAATTCTCTTCATGATTCCACTACCATCCAACAAGAAGCCTAAGCTAAAGAAAGCAGAGAGCCACTTTTCAAGAGTGGAAAATATAACTTAAAGAATCTTCCTCATCCTTTCTTGGATCCAGTGTTATTGGAACTTTTCAAGTTTTAGTCTTTTGGACCAAATGTTTATTATTTTTAGTCATGATTTGGTGATTTTTTCATATGTGAAAGTATTAGTCTAATTTAGAATTAAATATTTTTTCATCTATATAAAGTCATAAATGTTGTCATGTGAATACAATCCATTAAATATATGGATAAAATCTTTAAAAAACATATTCACATGTGACTATATGCTTTTTATGCATCCCAAGTTTAACCAAATATATTTAATGATTTGATTTGTTTCTTCAGCTGATGAGATACTGAAATGACAAAATTTAGCAAAAACACATTTTTTCCTGGGAGCTAGAAGCCGATCGAGCAGAAGAGAAGCTTATTTAATCAGATGATCATCATCTCATTCTGTCCCTATCCTTATTCAGTTTGCCCTTTTCACTGATTGTAACTTTTTTTTGTAATTGTGAAAGATGGATAAAAGGTCGACAAATACAAAACTTATATGTACAATGCAAAAATAGTTTTTGCAGCAATAGTTTACTAGGAAAAACAAGTTCCTGGGGGCCGCATAAAACTCATTTTACATGTATGGCTAATACAACTATTCCTTATATGTGCACATTAATTATGTTTTTGATAAAAAATACTTTGGTTAAAATGCCATCAGAATGCTTATAATAAGTGTGTCTCAGCCCTTCAGTGTCCACCACATTGGATCAGTCTTTAAGCATATTACAGCCACCTATAGGGCTGGAGTGAGAAATGTATTGTCTTATTCCATTTAACTATAATGTGACCAAAATTGAGCGAAAGAGCTGGACTCTAAAATGTTCATCTCTCAGCACCAAACTGGTTGCAAACATTGTTCTGGTTGATTCTGGCATAGAGACGACGATTGAGTCACTCTGAATCAGATTCATTATAAACAGTTCAGTTGGTTCTCAGCTCCTAAACAAGCAGTCTGTTGCTGGCACAAATACAGCTGAGTGGGAGATGGGGAGGTTATTGTCCTGTGAGAGGAGGCGGCTCTGCTTAAGTATGTTGTTTTGGACAAATGCTCCTAAATCCTAGACGGAGGCGGACACAAAGCCTTTGTCAATGGTTTTAGGGAAACAAGGAGAAATAATGGCTTTTTTTGAAAAAGGCTTGAGGTCCGATGTGCAGAAACGAGGAAAATAGCTTTTTTTGTTTTGTTTGTTTTTTTTCTTTTTAGGAAAAGAAACTGCTGAGCCCAAAGGAAGAAAGAAAAATTAAGTATTGTGTGAAAGAACAAGTAGTTTAAGATGGTTAGTAACAGCATGAATCTTAATTCAAAGTGCTCTAAAAGAGGGAAAAAAATAAATCCTCCGCCTCTGACTGCCGCTCTATCCTCTCTGCACCAACTCTGATGTCCAAATATACCAGCACTAGGGTTCTTCTACAGTCTGCTTTATACTGATGTCACTGAACACCTTGATGAGGACAGTCTTTACTTTGGTGGAAATATTTGGTAGAAAATATTAAGGCAGCTGGTCTTTGTTAGGAAGGTGTTTAACTGTTTGAATGCAGCTTATTTAATAATCTTACTGATGAGGGGGAGATTGAGATGGGCCTGTAGTTCTGCAGTGGCATAAAGTCTCTCTTTTTTAAACAGAGGTTAGGTAGTTGCTGTTTTTACGGCAAAATGGACGTGTTTATTATTGAAGCTAAATCAGATGGGCAGGGCTTTCTTTGTTGGTAAAACATAGCTGGTCTATCATTTGATGTTTTTGTAGTTTATTTGGAGAAATTTTGTCAAGATGAGTTCTAGTTGGAGACAACTTTGGTATATGATGCACATACTGGTAGAAATGAATCTTGAAATAAGTAAAAATGTCTTAAATTAAGTGTATTTACCCTTAATTTGAGTAGGTAAATGAGATAATTTGCCAATGGAATGAGTATTTTTACTCTTAAAATAAGATAATTGGATAAAATGCACTTGAAATAAGACAATGCAATTGTGTTTTCTTATTTTAAATCTAAATTGTCTTGTTTGATTGGCAAATTGTATCTTTTATCTCCTCAATTCAAGAACAAATTTCACTTATTTTAAGAAAAAATGACTTCTCTAGATTTTGATTTTGTATTAGATGGGTTTAAAGGACCAGCACTGGTAATGATGCGCTGTGGAGACAGAGTGATCTACCGGTAGTCTTTAGACACAGGTTAGTATTTTCTAGAAGTGAAAATGGATTAATTTGCTCTCTGTGGTTTTATTGTCCCTCTGTTTTACAGGAGTACCTGAGCCTCTACCCTTTAGATAAAATGACCCTGGCTCCTGACCCCGATGTTCCCGAGCTCCTACCTCCCGTAGCCTACAACCCCTGGACAGATGTGAGAAAGCGGGAGGATGTTCAGAAACTTAATGTTAGCTTCCCCTATGGACCAATTCCTAAAGACTTCCAGGTAAAAATCCTGCAGTCTCTCACCAAAGCGTCTCCTTGTCGTTTAAACTGGTACAAAGATGGTTTTACCCTTTGTCCTGTTTTTCCAGCTGCGTATCCGTCAGCACTATTACGCTGCTGTGTCCTACATGGACGCTCAGGTTGGGAGGCTCCTCAGTACGCTAGATGCTCTCGGGTTGGCTGACAGCACAATGGTGGTTTTCACCTCTGATCATGGTTTGAAGACTTTCTCTCCCTTTGATTATTATTTTAATCTGAATCTTAAAGGTTTCTTTAATATAAATATGAACGACTTTATTGACACCTTCAGTGGAAAGTTAAGAACAATAAAATTAATCAACCTACAGTCGTGGTGAGATCCCTGAAGATCTTGACTGTTTCTACCAGGTCGTGGCACATTAGGATTTCTCTTTAGTTGGACTGATGCCTCTGCTGGCAGATATTAGTCTTTTTTATTTATTTTTTTCTTACTTCAGCCCATTAAAGAACGTGTTTGTCGATCCTTTGGTGTAGTGCGTTGCCCTGAGATCACGTGAAGCACATTCACCGCTAATTCCTCCATCTGATTCCCACTGTTACCTTTTTATTTGATTTATTTAAATCTCTTTTTGACTAAATTGAGTCTCCAGTATTGGAATAATTCAACATTTGTAGCGATTATGTCATTATTATATTATTATTATATAAAGTGGGAAGAAAAAGTGATATTGGCTTCAAAAAATTAGAGGCACATATCAGATTCTTTTATTTCTTTAAGTACCAACAGTATATGTAGACATGAAATTTGAATGTTACTGTAATATAAATATCTAGTGACCAAAAATGGTTAAGAAAAGGATCTGCTTGAAATAAGGTAATGGAGTTAATTTTTTTCTTATCTTAGATGTAAACCTTTTTATTCCATTACAGATTGTCTTACTTACCTGCTTCAATTTTGAGTGTAATTGATAATATGGAGACCAATCTGTCTTCCATTAATGTCGTTCCGAATCAGTGAGCTTTAAGGTGTGTTAAGTTCCCGGGGAATCTGCTCAAATTTAGAAAGAAACATTCTTTTAATGTTCAAGCTAATTTTATTTGAAATAAATTGCAAGTATTAATTAAACTGAACCAGATGGGATTTTTTTTTTTACTGTTTTGCTCAAATTAAAAATTATTTTCTAGAGAGTTCAGTTTGAAGGTTTTTTTAGTATGAGGCTTGTCAGTTTATTTAAATGTGTCTTACATCTCTTTATTGAAAGTGCCAATAAATAGATCCACTTTGGAAGATTTTACACCTTCAGCTCAAGAATAGTTTGCTGTAATTGTATTTGACCACCAGATGGCAGTGTTGTAACAGCAAATTTGCTGTAATCTGAAGCTCTGCTGATGTTTCATGTTTGGAAAGAGGGTTTTCATTTATCCTTTTTCTAAATTCTGTTTACAAAGGTAAACTTAAAATCATTAAACCTTAACCTCTTCTTTCTTTGTCCTTCAAACAGGTTGGTCATTAGGCGAGCACGGAGAGTGGGCCAAATACTCCAATTTTGATGTGGCAACGCGTGTTCCCCTCATCATGTTCGTCCCCGGTGTCACTGCTGCCTATAGCCGAGCAGAAGGGCCTACTTTCCCCTTTATTGATGTTTTTAGCCAACCTGAGTACAGCTTCACCAGTAAGGATGCCCTGCAGAGGAACCCTGTTTAACAGCATAGAACAGTCTGGGAATATTTGAGAAAAAACTAATAAAACTAGTTGGATTTTTCAGTGATCTCATGAAGCTTATTAAAACCTTTTCTAATGTAGCCATGAAACTTTTAATGAAGTCTTCGATGTACACAGGGAACTTGAAAAGAACTTATTTAGACAGGATTGCTCTTTGATATTTTGCCTGAGGATAGTTCTTACTTCAAGTAAAAGTGCTGCAATGATGATGAAACTTCAGCACATTAACTAAATCGTATTTTCAGGGTATCTTTATGGTGGTGGTATCAGCTGGATAAAACTTTTAACTTTCTGAACATTTCTGGCGCTCAGATGCAAAGGTAATCCGTAACACGGTGGAGCTGGTGGACGTCTTTCCTACCGTCTCCTACATGGCCGGCCTCCCAGCGCCTGAGCATTGCCCTGACGTCTCCCTCCAGGTACCTAAAGCCCAAATTAGCACATTTATCAAAGACGGGATTAGTTCAGTCTCTGCTTTAGACCTGATATCTGCCTGGTGGTTCACAGAAAGATTTTCATGCCATAGGATTAGCAGCTCAGGGCATGCAGGTGGCAGCGGTTAGTGCGCACAACCCACTGTATGGAGGCTTTAGTCCTCGACGCGGCCGACCCAGGTTCGAATCCAACCTGTGGTCCTTTGCTGCATGTCTCCCCCCCTCTCATACCTCCTTTCCTGTCAACCTGGTTTTGGAAAAAGAAGAAACTAGTGCCGTTAAAAAAAGAAAAATATTAGCAGCTCAGATTGCAGGTTGAGTTTTTTGATACTTGGACGTATTTAGGGTTTTGAAATAGTTTTGGAAAAGACTCATGAAGCCCTCTTGATGCCGTCACTTGGAAAGGAGGGGACCTGTATGGGGGGAATTTTGTTCCGTTATTTTTGCAAGCAAAGAACATGTTTGTAGCTTGAAATAAAAAAAAATCCAGGAACTAAATTTTTAAATTGTTGATCAAAAATTTAATTTTGATTAGTAATTTTGCCGTTTTTTTCAGATCTATAATTAATTTTCTTCTACAGATTTTATGTTGTACAAATCATTCTTTTTTTAAACAGCCTTTTCCAGATCACATTCTTTTTACCTTTGAGGGGGAGGGCTTTTCTTTGGATTTAGGAGCAAAGATTATTTTCTATTGATCTGCTGGACTTTTTTGTTCATCAACAGTTAATGTTTGAACTGGACTTGCAATTTTAAAAGAGTTGATTTTTAAAACCATCTGAAAAAATATAATTAAAAAAAATGAAAGAAAAAAAAAAGATGACAAAAAACCCAAAATCAATCATTTGAAAAAGAAAAAGAGAAATCTCTCAAAACCTTTTTTGATTTAAATATTTTTCAAGTTCTATTTCTTAATTCTTTTATTTCCGTTTACAAAATCTTTTCTTTATTTGCAACAGTAATGGAACAAAATTCCCTCCATAGCCTTGAGGGTAACTAAAGGGTTATAGTGACCTCACCTGGCTTTGGATCAATGGCAGAATAAGGATGTAAAACAGTTTCCAACCGTGAGTTTCGTTAGTTTTTGCTCCTGAATATCATTGCCTTTTATGAAATTTTAAGGCAAGCATGTCAGTGATCCAGCTGGACTCTTAAAATAACCTTTATATTTCTCTTTAGACTCCCGGTTATTTGTGTAGTAGGGCACTGGTGTGGTTAAATAATCTAATCTGATATTTCTCTGCATAACAAATAAGATTAACTAATTTTATTGTGAATTTTTATTATTAATTGTTAAGTTTTAAATTGCAAATAACAAAAAACATACATTCCCCTCTGAGATATACTCGGTTATGAGTGTAAATCTAAGAACAATAAGTGATGTCATTAACTGACATCAGTCTGAGGTACAGAAGCCCAAGGAATGAATTGGTGGAAAAAAAATCTAGATTTTCCATAAATTTTTATCGAAAAACTTAAGTTTGATAAAACGATACAATATATTGATTACCCAGGCCTGTTCTGTAGCTATTTTTTTTTTTTATAAGTTCTGCATCATGCCTAGAAAAGGAAAATGCTAAGCATGAAATGCCACTTTTCTGGTGGGGAGAAAAAAAAATACCCCCATACATTACCTTAAAGTCTTGGCTTTAAGGAATTTGAAAGAAAAGCAACAACTGAACACGGCATCCTTAATGAGAAGTAATTTGAATCACAGTCACTGAGTGGAAACAGAAATTAATCAATATGAAACGGTTGCTTTTCTTAATTAGATTTTAAACCTCCAGATTAAACAATACTAGCTTGCTTATTAGGTTTATTCTGACATAAAGTAGAAAATAAGTCTTTTGACAGAAATCCTGGTCAACACCGTTAGCATCACTCATGTAGAGCAAAGTCTGTGCAGTTAGGTTGGCTTTTAGCAGCTTAGCTCTAATGTGGACGGAGAGCAAAGTTGGAGTTTAAAGAGAACCTAAAGCTGCAGCTTGGTTCCTCTGTGTTCCTCATTTTCCTGCAAACAGCAGCTGATCTCACTGCCCGCCTTCAGCAGACGACCAGGGAGCAGAAACCACCTGTAGAGATGCTATCTGGAGGAAAGACGCAATGTCTGAGACAGTTATTCTGAGGATTGGGTTTGGTTAAAGGGCAGTCTGCAACCAGGTGGATTAAAATGCTACAGCAACACCTGGTTATTTAATCCCATCAGTCCAAATCAACCAATGGGATAACGCCAAAATGGTGACAATTATTCTACCGGAAACATAAAAGGCAATGCATGCTGCAGGGGGTGAGCCAAGTGTTAATAAAATCTACTGCTTGTGACGCAAAGCTTGTCTCGTATTAACCTGCTGGATGTAAAAGTTTCCAAGATTCCCAGATTTGACATCCTGGGAATCCGTGGAAAGTTTTTTTTTTTTTCTTTTCTATCAACTGCTGTCAGCAATTCTGAAGAAAGTGATATTTATCGCCAGCAGAGGTGTCAAAAGTGTTAATGTTCATTAGTCAAGTAGAAATGTAATCCTACAGTTAAAATACATTTGTAGAAGTTAGAGTTTTAACTTAAGATTTTTATTCAAGTAAAAATGTAAAAGTGCCATTTAAAAAAATACTTTAAGTTTAAAAGTGATGCAGGAAAAGATGTTAAGGACAGAAGCCTTTTAAAGTAAAATGTTTCTACAATTCTGAATGATAATTTCCTTATATGTAATTTTCTTAGTTTTATAACTAATGGCAACAGTGTTAAATTTAACTTTGCATCATCTTTTAAAAATTTTTTTTTTGTTTGTGGTGAAAAACAAATTGGGGGCAGCACTGAGTCCAAACGCTAAGAAATTAATTGTCTGGATGTAATAAATCATTTTGATGTTTTTTACCAACATGCCATCACAGAAATGAGCTCTGATGAAACAAAAAGGTCTATTTTCAAAATGTAGAAAATAGATATAATAAAAAAAAAAAATTAAGGAGTAGAAGTAAAAAGTTGTCTAAAAAATACTCCAGGATAGTATAGATGGGCAAAATTTCTACCTAAGGTAACGAAAGTATTTCTACTTTGTTACTTGACACCTCTGATCATCAGCGTTCGTGTTTATTCAGGCAGATCACTTTTTCATTTGAAGCTGGGGAAAAAAATTATAAAAACACAACTAATTTTGTTTTTATTTACTGACCCAAACACAGGAAAGTGATAACAAACCATTATTATTATTATTTTTATTTTATTTTTTTTGCACTGAACAAAAATAGTAACAAACACACAAGTGCTTGAAAGGATCACTTTGAATTGTCGTATTTTTGACAAGTACCCTGACCCTGGAGTTCTCTCTGCCCTGAATACACCACATGCTTTAAACAAAGTCCAAGATGGTGTAAAATGAATTTCATTGAAGCTGTAATATTCCTGGGACTTAATATTCCTGGAATTGATGCTGCATTGTGATGTAAACTTTAACGAGACCCTAACATACCTGAAGGTGACTGAGTCAGTTTTGTGCGTTACCTTCCAGGTGGAGCTGTGTACAGAAGGAAGGAATCTGGTCCACACCTTTCAGCACAAAGAAAGGGGAAAGAATGCCGAACTCATGGCTTTCAGCCAATACCCTCGACCCGCTGACACTCCACAGGTAGGAGCTTCATGAGATTCCCTGTAAATTTAGATTTCCCTATCACATGGCTGCCCCCTGCTCGCTGCCTGAGCTGCTCCTTCTGCAGCTGCAGAACTACAAGCTCTGCAGACTGATATCCCCAGTTTATATAAAAAAAAAAGAGGTTTATTTTGTTTTTTCAGAACAACTCTGACCTCCCTGATCTCCAAGACATCAAGGTGATGGGTTACTCTCTGCGTAACTGGGACTACAGATACACACTGTGGCTTGGATTCAATCCCAGATCCTTTCAGGTAGGTCTGTGGAATCACAGGCTTTCACACAGCGACAGCTCTTCCCCTTATCCTCTGCTTTCTATTATTCCACTTTCTCTAAATGGGTTAGTTTCTGCCTGGGGAGGCGGAGCCTGATGGATCATCCATCTGGCACATCGCACACTGCAAAAAACGGAAATCTGAATAAGTCATTTTCTCTTAAAATAGGTGCATTTTTTCTTGAACTGATTAAGCAAGTGAGACAATTTACATTTAAAATAAGAAAAAACTGTTTTATTGTCTTATTTCAGTTTCATGTTATCTTATTTTAAGAGTAAAAATATTCATTCCATTGGCAAAATATCATATTTACCTGCTCAAATTAAGGATAAAAACACTCAATTTAAGAATTGTTTACTTATTTCTAGATAGTTTTTGCAGCACAGATGTTTTCCATGTCCAGGATGACTGATATTTATCCGTCACTCTTTCCTCTTTCCATCTAGGTGAATGTTTCTGATGTCCACGGTGGTGAGTTATACATGTTAGCAGATGACCCCGGTCAGGACAAGAACATCTACAGTGACTTTGATCATAGCATTGTTATGAAGAAGATGGACGCCCTTCCTCATGTAAGTCTTTAATTATTTCCTGTCTGAATGTTGAACTGAATGCTTATTTGGTTGCTAATCTTCCAGAATGCGAGCGTGTGGACGAGGATGAGGCTCCAGCTTTATTACCACACAGCAGGACTGAAGAGAAACGCTGGGACGGTGTGACGAGCAAGAAGCACAACAGTCGGACTCACAGGGACCAGTTCAAAGGGAATATAACTATAAAGGAAAAATGAATCTGTTTGTATAGAGTTATTGCTGATTGTTTCACATTTAATACCTGAATATTTAGGTTTTTTCACTGATTAAAAGTATGACTTAATCCAGAGCCTTACTTCTGTCCACATATAACATTTGAAAGAAGCTGCCAGGAAGGGGTAACCTGGAGAACCTTGGATCATGCTAAGGGGTGAGAGCTGGGTCCGTCTCAGCGGTGATAGAGAACCGTACACTGGCAATTTACGGCGACACCATCATGGCGGGTTGAGCAATTTCAGTAGCTGTGTTTCCATTAACGAACAAAAGGCACACATTTTTTATTTGGGGAGTGGTGGCCTAGTGGTTAGGGCTTAGAGCTAGGAATCCTAAGGTTCTGAGTTTGAGCCCCACTCCCACAGACTGACATTCGGAGTCCCTGAGCAAAGACCCTTAACCCCACACTGCTCCCCAACGGGATGGGTTAAATGCAGAGGTAAATTTATCCATTGTGAAATCAATAAAGTTCAGTTATTGAAAATGGAAACACTGGAATGTAGAACCAAAAAAACTCATATTTTTCTCTAAAAACATTTTACGCTTTGAAAAGGTTTTCTGGTTGCATTGAAATTCTTATTTTGCAAAACTGCAATGGAAGCTTTTTTTCACATGATCTGCAGCTGGACTTTACTGCCTTATAAAAAGATGAAGAACTGAAAACGGGGAACGGAGTATTTTTCATGTTTAGTTTGTGACGATGAGTGTGATGATCACTATAGCTGTGGCTAAAACATCGATATATGTCCTGCAAGTGTGTACATCTGCCTATGCCATGCTGTTTTCAGCAGTGTGAACAAATGTATTCACATGTCATTTTAATTCTCTTATTGAATAGAAAAAATACATTTAAGAAAATTTGCATTTTCAAAATTGGCAGAATGTCCATAGAACATTTGTAATGGAAACACAACTAGTGATAGTTTTGTGACCCAGCATCCTATTTCTCTCCAGTCTTTTCTTCTTCTCTCTCTGCCCACATACTGTACGGTTCTTTTAGTGGGGATCGTCAATAATCTGAACCAAACACACTTGATCTAAAAATAGTTTTTTTACAACTTTCATCTCTTGCAACCCATTGATACAAAATGACAAATTATTTTGGACTAGAAAGATGAGGCACACTTTTTTTTTTTCTAAATAGCTTTCAGGTCACAGAAATAAAGGTCACTAAACTTTCAGGTCACTAAATAAAGCAGGATAGATGATGCAGACTGGTTTTTATCAAATTTATATGCATTTACTTTTTTATATGAACTTTCATATTGAAGAAAACTCTGATTTATAGTCCTTTTCTTATATAAGGAAATCCTTTTATTTTCATCCCTAAAAGAACCACAGGTCTTCAGAGTAGAGCTGCTGATGTCAGTTGTCCTAAATGATGTCACATCCTAAAAACTTGGATCTGATGCAGTAAGCTCTTTCTAACCAGGGAGGGAGCCAAACACATTTTAGACCTAAAAGCAGGTTTATGAACAGATGCGTCGTAAATTGTCTATTTAGACTAGGATATGTGGACAGGACTGATAATTTATTTATCCAGTTTATTAGCAAGAAAACGTTGATTTAGGGGTAAATAGTCCATTAATAAACAGCTTTTATAATGAAAATGTTCATGTATTGTACAGGAATTTCTTATTTGGACAATGCTATGCTATGGAGATAATTTAGGCTAGTTCGGTGATAATCAGTATGATCCTAGATATTTAGGCTGCTGTCTGACCTGAGTGAAGTTGGCCCCCCCACCTTCTTCAAATCAGACAAAATGGGTATCAATTAACTGAGCTCTGTTTGTGCTGGTTTGTGAAGCAAAAACTTTTATTTGTGCTTTGAAGATATTAATGAAAATGTAAAGGTCAAAAGGTCAACCAGCCCCCCCACCTTCTTCAAATGTTTGTGCAGCAGAAATTTTCGTTTGTGCCGCTATCATTTTAAAGAGATGTTTCTAGAGGTCATCAAAGGTCAACCAGCCCCCCCCCACCCCCCCCCCCCCCACACACACACACACACACATTTTCATAAAAATAGACAAAATTGGTGTCAAACGTTTGTGCTGGTTTATGCAGCAAAAACGGATGTTAACTGACCTTTGATGACCTCTACAAAATATTATCATTAAAATGATAGCAGTACAAATGAGAATTTTTGCCATACAAAAATATAGAATTTTTAAATTTATTTAAAATATAAAATATTTAAAATAAACATATAAAAAATTTAAAAATGTATTTTCAAATATATAAATTTTTTTGTACTGCTATCATCATAATGATAATAATCAAAGGTCAGTAAACATTTGTTCATTCTGAAACTCTGAAGTTCATATAAATTATAAGTTGTTAACCTATGATTATATCATTTTAAACTGTAAAAACATGATAGCAGCACAAACGGAAATTTTTGCTGCACAAACCAGCACAAATGTAGCTGAGTTAATTGACACCCATTTCGTCTGATTTGAAGAAGGTGTGGGCTGGTTGACCTTTGATGACCTCTAGAAATATTTCTTTATATCTTTAAAATGATAGCGGCACAAACAAAAATTTTTGCTGCACAAAGCAGCACAAATGTTCGACACTAATTTTGTCTGATTTGAAGAAGGTGGGGGGGCCAACTTCACTTAGGTTGTCGTCTGTCATTATCTCACCTGATTTAGCCTCAGGTGTGTAGAACAAAGCATCTAGGCATATAGACTATTAATAAAAGCTTTTGAGAAGGAATGGGACATTTTCAGAAGCTCAGTGAATCCCAGTGTTACTGTGATAGGATGCCAACAGTTCAGCTGGAAATCTTTTTCACTCCTAAATATTCCTCAGTCAACTGTCAGTGGTATAACTAAATGAAAGTGATTGCAAACAGCACAATTCGCCATTCAGATATCTGAAGATCGGGGCATCGAGAGCTTCATGGAATGGGTTTCCATTAGGGATGCAAATCATCTATTAATGAATAGATCTAAAATATATTGATCTTATTAATTAACTTGATTTATTAAGTGGCCATTTTCTTAAAAACATTCGTGCAACACAAAGGACTAAAGTTTTTTATTTTTTTTCTGTTTGCAGAATAAAAAAATAAAAAAATCAATCAATATATTTTAATTTATTGTACCAGCTGCATTAAATTACCAAATCAAGAAAGGTTTTCTCCCACTTTTAAAAGTATTTATAAAACATAAAACTGGAACCTAGTATGTTACTAAATAATAAAAAGGTGAAAAGGTGGAGTCAGAGTAATAAATATGCACACCCAGGAGAAGGAGGAGGTCACTCCGTTGGCTGGAAGTTGGAGGGGATTTCACTGGAATTTGCAGGGAAGTGGGCTGCTATTCGGCTGGCGTTTGACTGGGAAGGGCCATTTTGAGTGGCTGCTACAGTATACAAACCACAGTTTACAGAAATGAGAGGTTGAGATCCATCCGCCCTGACACTCTAAACTCACAGCATGAGGGGGATCCCATTTCCAAATGAAACCTTTTAGTTTCCTTTAAGTGCTTTGAAGCTTCACCATCCAGTCACCTTTTAAGCAAAGTCTTTTTCTCTCTACCACAACAGCTCAAAGTGACTTCAACATTCTCTACCGTAGCCTTACGCTATGACATTTTCATTTGCACTGGTGGCTATTTGCCCTCTCTGCTCAGAAAAACTGTTGGTTCAGATTAAATTCACAGACCTGGAACGAACCAAGGAAAAAGCCGCCCCCATAAAAGTGTAATTCAAATGAGACGGAGTGTAGCTGCATTCTCACTGCCGCTGCAGTGCATGATCATTTTGTGCTGTGGCCATTTAGGAGAAAGCAATTCCAGCTTTAATTTGGGGTCTAATGATGAATGAACGCGGTTTAGCCTGTCAGCTTTTGTCATTTGCAGCTCTGGTTTCATGTGGAGGGATCTAAGGGAATCCTGGATCGTCTTCTGAGGTGTTCTTGTTTAACATGTTTATTTTTGAATTAACACCTCCAAAGCATAATCTTTGTTAGTGTTAATACACCTCTGGAAAAGTTGTGCCCTTCTGGCAGTGACAGATTCTTTTCAAGCTATTATAACCTTTGTAATTTCATTTTGAAAGACTGTGTGAGTCCTGCCTCACGCCTGTTTTAAAACATCCTGCTAATCCTGCAGGATCATTGCCTGCTTGAAATATAATCTGCGTTCCAGATCAAAAATTAAAAACAGAAAAAAATAAAATAAAATGCAAGGCAGCTCTCCACCTCCACCATTATTAGTTTGTTATTTAGTACTTTTCATTTAGTTTTTTTTATTATTATTATTCCCTTGCTTCAGAATATTTATATCTGTTTTACTCATCTTGGACATTTGCTATAATTAAACATAAACACACAGGTTTAAAAATTATAACTAACTTTCATGACTTCCTCTAGATTATAATTTTATTTTTTTATTGTCAGAGGTTATGTAAACCATCATGACTTTTCCATTGCTCTCAAATCTTCCAAGATGGACGAGCAGCGAGATAAAATAAGAACATCTAAATATGCTCCTATGAGGGGCAGTTTGTTGGGGCAGTTCTAGTGTTTTTTTTAAATATATACAGGTGCTGGTCATAAAATTAGAATATCATGAAAAAGTAGATTGATTTCAGTAATTCCATTTAAAAAGTGAAACTTGTATATTATATTCATACATTACATACAAACTCATATATTTCAGATGTTTATTTTGTTTAATTTTGATGATTACAAATGACAACAAATGAAAATCTCAAATTCATCATATCAGAAAATTAGAATATTACTGAAGACCAATAAAAACAAAGGATTTATAGAAATGTTGGCCAACTGAAAAGTATGAACATGAAAAGTATGAGCATGTACAGCACTCAGTATTTAGTTGGGCCTCCTTTGGCCTGTATTACTGCAGCAATGCGGCGTGGCATGGAGTCGATCAGTCTGTGGCACTGCTCAGGTGTTATGATAGCCCAGGTTGCTCTAATAGTGGCTTTTAGCTCTTCTGAATTGTTGGGTCTGGTGTATTGCATCTTCTTCTTCACAATACCCCATAGATTTTCTATGGGGTTAAGGTCAGGAGAGTTTGCTGGCCAATTAAGAACAGGGATA